TTAGTTCATCCCTTGTCATTTCATTTTTCGCCCACCACCACCACCACAACAGTAATCACTGCGGAGAGAAATAGTTTGAAACCTACAAGGGCAGACCGTGCTTTCTTTTCCTTACCTGGATCATCTGTTGCTAGGCAGAATTAGTCTCCTGTAGTCAGGAAGTGCCGCTAAAGTTTCCACAAATATTCCCTTCAACATGTTACAGCCAAACGTTAGATTGTTTTTTTTGTGGAGAAATTAATTTGTGAGCTCCTTATTTGATTCCCGCAGAGAGCTTCTTTTCGATCAATGTTCGTGCGTTTGTCTCCCTCTAGTGGACTGATTGATGAAGGCTGGGGAACAAAAAAGGTCCAACAAGGTCCTGTTTTTGAGTTTTATTGAGAAATGATCTCTCGATGTGATTAGTAATTGGTTTTAACATCATAATAGTGTTAGAATCGCGAGGATATGAATCAATTCATCTTAGAAACTCCCAAAATGATCGTCAATATGTTATTTGCTTACATAAGGATAAAAGAGAAGGCACTCGTGTGTATATAAAAAAAAAAAAAAAACATACAAAAGCATAATATTTGAATGTAACTGGCTTCGGGTATAAATACGTCACAATGGAGTGCAACTGACCTATTGCTCCCTTTTAAAATCAATTTCACATATTTGGTCTACAAACTGGCGATATTTGTATTGCACACAAAACGGCGAAAGCTTAACTTGTTCACAAAGAGGAAAATAAAGAAAACCGCAGAGGCCCCGGCGTGAGCTTAAAAGTCTGAAGTGAAACTCTCAGACCGTCACCGGAGGAGCCCATGTGCGTCACACGTGTGGAATTCCCTCCGCATTTGGGAAGGCAACCTCTCAGAGGATAACGCAGCTCGACGTGGACACCTCTGAACTGTTGGATGCAAACAAAATAATAAAATGCTTATTAGATTGTCTATGGAGCATAATGCTAAATGAAAAAAGAAAAAGAATGAATTGAATAGCACCACGCTGATGGCTGGCTAGCGTGGTTGAAAAATAATAAAAAAAACAAAAAACAAAAGGACCTGTGCTCTGTAGTGGCCTCTTTTATCCTTTTGGGGGCGCTGCTCTCCCACTCAACGGCCGCTCTCTGAGCAAGCTCACCGGGCTCATTGTTCACCTGCATAGACGGGTAGGAAAAAATTTGCTCTGGGCCAATTTCTGTTGCGATTCACGCCATATAAATTGAATTGCTGTTTGAAAATGAAAAAAAAAAAAATCATAGTTGTGTGTTTACTTTCTGTGTGTCTTTACCATGTTCCTTTTCCTATTGGCATGGCTGCTGCTGCTTGGTAAATTGTGGCCGTCAGGAGCCGAGCCGAGGGGTTGCTGGTTCAAATCCTCTCGCTGGAGGACAACCGTCGACCTGGGCTGCAGCTTCCTACAAACACGGTAGTGGAACCTTCGTATGAACCTTAGTATGATGAGTTGGCTCTGCATGTTTTTTAATGGTAAAAAAAATATATATATCATAATTTTTAAAAATGCAACATGCACAGCGAGGCGACCCAGCGAGGTGGAAAGGCTTAAAGTTGCAAATGAAAAGGTAAGTAAGGGTTCAATGGTGTTTAGCATCAACCACATCCCTGGTGGTCGGGCCTTAGCAGAGCTCATCCTTCATTTAGTGCCACCGAGCATCGATCTAGTCACTAATTAAGTCCCCTGTCTGCTAGCTGCGGTGTCAAGAGGGTGTACCTATTAAAAAAAAAACAATGCAATGGAAAAAAAAAAAAGCAGTTATATAATAAAGATGATGACACAACGGACGGCTAATTTTGCTGCGGTGTCAAGAGGGTGTACCTATTAAAAAAAAAAACAAAAAAAAAAACAATGCAATGGAAAAAAAAAGCAGTTGTATAATAAAGATGACGACACAGCAGACGGCTAATTTTGTCATGCAAGGACAGCGGTTACTACAGTGGACAGGTTACAGGTTATCATTATTTGTGAATGAAAGGGTTGCTGTGTGAAGTCTTCTGGAAATCAATAATTTAGCCGTGTGTCGACACACACACGCACACACACCCGACGGACCTTCCCCAGTGGCGTGAGCGCTGCTGACCTCTGGTCCTACTTGGCCTGTCCTCTACTTGGCCCCGCGCTACAGCTAATTACGCTCCCCCCGGAGTTTAGAATCTGTAGATTGGCTCGTCCGCCGGGTGGTCCGAGCGTTTTGACAGCCTCCCCGACAACGGAATCAACTAATTAGCGCCGGGGGCCTGGCACGGCGGGGTCGGGATGGGGCACTTCCTCTGGAGAAGTTGGGGGGGGATGCTAGTCTGAGAATCAGACAAGTTGAGAGTCACGGCCGCAGCTTGAACCAGGAACGTTCTGGGCATACATCGCACCGTTTCAGCATTACATTTTTATACTCGCGATATCGCGCTTCACCGAACGCGACACCCACTGGGTGATGTCACAAAAGCAAAACCTCAATACTCTGGTTCTCAGGCACCTTTTTGAACAGAAGCCATGTACATACATACCTAACTGCCGACGTCAGGCTTTGGTACCAGTCGTTAAAATCCTCCTGGTTGCTTGACATGAGCAGGAGTTTGGCTTTGGGGAAAGTCAGCTGGAAAGAGAAAATGGAATATGTGGGTAGAATTCGATCAAACAAATCGCAATAACAATAACTGGGAGATCGGACATATACTAAAAAAAAAAAAAGAAAAAAAGAAAGAAATAATAATCATAATGTGTCCGTTTTTTAATGGCATCAACTTCACTGAACCCCCACCCCGTAAAATTGTAGTAACGGTATATAACCACAAGGGGGCAGGCCAGACCAGGAAATATCACTACCCATTACCTGCTGACCAAATCAATAAAACTCACTTCTCCGTTAGTTGATCAATTTATTGCATGAGAGCGAACTGTCCGACGGATCTTAACGAGCTTATGAGCGACCCTTTTTTCCCCCGAATGGTTCAAAATCAAGCCTTCGCGATATTAAATGACCTTTGACGTTTACCTGAAGCGGCGGACTCGTTTCGGCCATTGGAACAACTTTTATTTGGTGGTGCGATATTGATCTTTTTATTTGGAAGGAGAAGCTTGTATGACATTTTTTTTTAAACGCAGATGAATGCAATCTTATGATACATGAAATAGATTTCAAAAGGTTCCTTCATCAAACGAATTATCCAATTAAAAGGGGGCTGAATTGAGGGGTGCGCGAGATGCGGCGCGCGTCAGCATAAGTAGCTTGCTCTTTTTATTTTATTTTATTTTTTTTGCACGGTGCAGTAATTAGGGATTTGTCAGGAAATCTGACCCTCTTAGGTAGAAATTACTTTGGATAATAAGGACGACAGAGCGCGCCGCACATAATTTTGCTTGATTATTTATACATCAAAGAGAATCTGTCGGCGATGTGGGAAAATATTCCAGCAGTGAGGGGAGGAGGGAAGAAAAAGGGAGTGAGAAAGCGGGGGGGGGGGGGGGGACTAAGAGTGAGCTGCAAAACAAACAACCCTTGGAGGGGGGCGGGATGAAAAAAAAATACGTTTTAATAAAAGTGATTTTTTTTTTTGGGGGGGTTGGGGTGGGACTCACACATTTTGCATATAGATTGCCATGGCATTTACAGCTGTCAAATTTAATTTAGCTTTAATTCTTCATGGCAACCGGATGAGGAGGGCCCTGGAGTGCTGACAGACCTTTTTTTTTTTTTTTCCTTCCCCCCCCTGAGCTCAGGTAGTGGACCGGGATCAATAATGTGTCTTTATGAGAAATTACGGGTAATGCTATTGAGTATGCATTCGGGCCTCGGCGGGGATAAGAGGCTAATGAAATGCCATTTCTGCCATTAGATAACGCGGCGGGGCCGGGCTGGCGGAAAGCGGCGACAAGGCTTGAGGAAGATGTATTTACTCGGAGGGCCGGAAGAGATGGATCTGGGCCCTAATCTGATCCAACAACTGAGAGATGATCTCGCAAGACGACTGCCGTCAGTGTGTCGCTCGGCTGTGAGCGCACCCCAAAATAACGCATGCACTAATTTCAACTGCCTTTTTATTTTTTTGTGACATTATCTTACATTTGGAAGGCGAAATGACTTCAGGCAAATCATTGTGATTTTGTCCACCCATGCTCAATAGTAGGATTGTGATTGAGTAGAAAAGGTTCTTTTCCACAGGCTGAGCCCATGAATGAACTCTTTGATGCACAAATAATGACAACCTGTAACCCGATAAACTGTCCACTGGGGTGACCGCTGTCCCTGAAAGGGTTAAACGTTGCTTGGCAAAGTTTAGAAAAAAAAAAAAAAGAGGGTTACCTTTGGAGCCGTCACATTTGATCCATGCCGTATTTTGGTGACATTAAAATCAAAATTCAATTTCAGGAGGACAGAGGAAACTGGAAAGTCATAAATCATGATGATTTCCAAAACCGGACAACTTTTAACTTTTTCTCAAAAAACCCCACATGATTTTCTTAAAAATGAACAATTTGAACTGAAAACTTGAGTATGCATTTTGTTTGTCCTGCAAAATAACCAAATTAAATCCTGAGAATGAACAACTTTTTCTTCCTAAAAAACAAAAACAAAACTTTAATCTACAAAGTATGGAAATATAACAAGTACGAACGTTTTTTTTAGTTATTTTTCTTGAAATAATCAAATTTCACTTAATTTCCCCCCGTCCTAAAAAAAAAAAAAAAAAAAAAAAACAAACAAAAAAAAAAGACAGAAAAAATTGAAAAGGACTACAACAGTTATGCAATAAGCTTGTATGACTATGAAACTGTCACGCCTAGAAAATTGTATTTATTTTTAATGAAGTCTCACGGGCCTGGTGACTGGGAAAAAAATGACTGCAGCCTCGCCAGAAAAAAAAAAAAAAAAAAAAAAAAATCTTCCTAGCGTCACCAGTGATTTTTGACCTACTGCATGTTCAAGTCCAGCGCCAATCCACATGAAAAGGAATCGAATACTCCAAGTCGCGCAATCAAAGCCCCCGCCGTCGGCGATGGTGTATCAGAGCGGCGCACATTAGCCGCACGACATAAAGCGCTTGCCGAGACGGCCTATCAGCCGAAATGAATATTGATACCGCGGCGGCATTGGCAGTAAACACTCGCCGGCATAAACGCTTTTGGTTGCTCGCTCAATGACGCGCGACAACGTTCCGCTGAATGTTTCATGACAGCGACTACATCATTTAGACGTAATTTGTCAGCCGGCAGCTGCGCGGAGACCTGCGAGACATTTCAGACCAAAGGGAGAGGAACGGTTGAAGTTGAACTTTTTGGGCGTTTGAAGGGGGACGAAAGGAGGAGGAAGTGACTGACACTCAAAACGGCATCAAACTGTCAAGGACTTGAGCTAAAAAAAAAAAAAAAAATCAAACATATGTCAAAAGTGGATTGACGCCCGTGCTTAGGGCTTAACTCATGTGTCGCTCGAGTCAATGAGCAGATGTCTCGACACCTGCCGCAACATGTTTACTTTTTGCGCTCATTAGAGTTTCTACTTTGCTCGCTATTGTTTAACAATATTACTGAACTGTGCTTAGAATTTCCAATCTCCCGGTTGGTAAAAAGCCAAGCGTGGAGAGTCTCTGTCGTAGAGTTCAGTCAAGGACTGGGCTGATCAGCACACAAACATGCAACGCGAGCTTCATTAAAGTCGGGTTAGGCTCCATCTTATGCGGCAGAAAACGAAAAATGAGACCGAAACTCACACTGAGCAGGCCTCCTTTGCCCTTGGTGTTGCCGAACACTTTTTCCACGGCGCACTCTCGCAGCGGATAGGCGTGCTGGCCTGAAAACTTGTCACTGTCGGTGGGATGCAGGGCGCTGCATGGCTTGGCCTGCAGAAGCATGTCGGAAAACAGGAAAAACATTTTGGGTTTGGCGTCCGCTCCCTTGGTGGGGACCACCTTCAGCCAGCCTTCCCGGATGTACCACCTCCCTGTCGAAAAAGAGAGAGCCAGATGCAAATTGTCTTCTTCAAGTCGATGTCTATAAAAGGCGTTCCTATGCAGCGGAGGAGCAGGAAATGTTGCAAGGGAGATGAGCTCGGACAGTGAATGTTTGTGCCCTGAGGCGGCGTGGGCCGCAATGTGAGCTCGTGTCCCGCTGCGCCAAATACAACCTTCAGACCACCTGTTGGCCCGAGTCCGGTTTAAGCGCTCGTGACATTGTGTTGAGCGCATATTTGCCCTGTGTTAAAGCCGTGCTTTTATAAAATGTTACTTTATGCATGATATATACATATGCCGTATTTTCCGCACTATAAGGCGCACTGCAAAGCATTCTGTTTTCTCAAAAGCCGACACGTGCGCCTTATCATCCGATGCTCCTTCTATCTGGATCAATCTTCTTATCTCTTGGACGTAGTATTTTAAATGTTCTCTGAAAACACGATATAATAAAGCTGTATTGTATTCCCTTTAGCGTAGCTCCATCTAGTGGATGCATAACGCAACTGCAGCCAGTATTGTAGCTTCTATTCTATGCACTTTATGATACGATGCGCCGCATATATGAAAACCGTTTTAAAAATAGGCCATTCATTGAAGGTGTGCCTTATACTCCGAAGCGCCTTATCGTGCGGAAAATACGGTAAGTTACAAGAAGAAGGGTTTGACACTCCAGTGTAGCTAACAGTTAGCTTGAGCTCCTCAACTCACGTCATCATAGCTATTGCTTTGGCCTGAGCCGAAAACCAGTAAGTAGGGGAGTTTTTTTTTTTTTAAGTGAATAACAGCGAATAGTTGCCTGTCAGGAAAATGTCAATAAAATTGGGAACCCCCCACCATTTTTTTTCTCTAGCTACTCTAATTTTTCAGTCGATCGCGGAATGGTGGAATACACAGATTGATGGAGAAAAGCGCAAATTGGTGCCATCTCCTTTGCATTAAACGACAGCGGCGGGACAACAAAATTAATTAGACTCCCGTAGGTCAAGCTGACATAAAAAAAAAAAAAAAAAAAAAAAAAACCCGAGAAGATGACATGGAATCTAAAGACAGCCGCAGTGGGAGGTACAGGCCGAAAGACGTGTAGCTCTTACACATCTCGTTGATTGGCAGTGCCATGACCGGCGCTAATAAGCAGCAGGCTGACATTTGGATAGATAAAGATGAACATTCAAACATGGGTCCGGGGTATTTTTTTTTTTTTTTTTTTTTGTAATTACCCCAGTTAGCCGCCTGTGATTGCAACTAGCCTAGGTGGCTCGAGCTGTGCCTTTCGGGCTCACCGCGGACATTTCCCGCGACAGCGGAGCCTGTTGAGATGAAGTGCAAGGGGTCAAATTGCTTTTAAAATGCCATGGGTGTCACATGGAAAAACAGTCTGGAGATAGGAGATTTGCCGTTGCCGAAGCAGCGGTTGACAACTGTTCAATTAAATGTTTCAAATGAATTAAAAAAAAAAAAAAAAAAGTTACGACCAACTTAGCAAAAAAGGGCGCAAACAAAGAGATGAAAGAGCAGCACGATGAATTGAAATGAAGCATTAAATCATGATGCAAAAATTGGTTACTGGTAATTTTTTATGATTTATTTAATTATGTCATTACTTCGTTTCCTCTATTATTTTCCTCATTAAAAAAACAAACAAAAAACATTTTTGCCTGGCAAATCCATTCAAAAGTACTTGCAAATATGTTCAAAGGTACCTGTAAATACGATTAAAAACACTAAATGACCCCCAGAGCTCTGTATTGATCTTTATGTCCTAATTTGTGAAATGAATACACAAAAAAGTCCGGATCCAATTAAAGATGACTAACCATCCTAAAGTTTCTACCTGTCAAGTTACACATCATCGACTTTAAAACGACTGCAACTGTCGGCAGGTGCCGTTGCCTCCCAAAAGCCGCGGGCAGCTTTGCGAAGACCGGGTTTTTCGTAATAAATCAAGCGGAGGCGTCGTAACGGAACGGCGGAACATGCCATCGCTTCGGATTCATGCTTGAGCGGTAATGTGTTGCATGTTTGCTCAAGCGGCGGAAAGCTGCTGGTGTCCAGCGTACTGAAACGGATGCACTTGAAAGACGTCAAGTTATATTACGTGTATTCAAACCAATTTTTTTTTTTTTTTTTAATCAACTGTAGCTTAACAAAAAAAAAAATGTTGACAAGGTTCTGGGAAGTTGGCAACGCTGCAAGAAGAGGAGTCTCTTTGTAGGCCAGGTACTTCTCAGACTCCCTGCCGGGATCTGACCGTCCGCAGGGTTTTGAGCCAGCAGAGGGTTCAAAGAGCAGGAGATGCCGGGCACTCCTTTCCATGTAAAGGCTTTTTTCGGTGTTCCTTGTCAAAGAGCACCTCCGCTCCACTACAAAGTCTTTTGGGCAAGGCCATGCTGGGGTGGGCTGAGGGAAGGTGGGGCAGGAAATAAAAGGTTCATCTACAAAGGGGTCCTGTTCCTCTGTACTGTAGAGATGTGACAGTTCCCTACTGGTTTTCCCCATCACGATGACGTCTATAAGGCACGCTGATGAAAAAAGGCATCAGGAACCAAGGTGGGGAGGGGGTGGGGGGGGGGTATAAAAATAAAAAAAAGACACCAAGAAAAGTAGAGCTAGGACATGCACCCGAAATCTCCGTTCCCTAATCGTGGGTGCGTCGGGAAATAACGCTGGGAGCACATACTTTGACCATTTGGAAATGTGGAGGCTTGTTCAAATGCTCCGTTTGGGTATTCAGAGTGCTCCAAAAACGGAGTGGCAGAGCCTAGTAGGTACAGATGGGTGCTGTGCCTCTCTGAAGACGCACATCACCGGTTAATTTCGACATGACCCCCGTCGAGAAAAAGTTGTGACTTTTTAGTTGAAAACGGCTTACCCCACGTTGCATTGTGGCCTAAGTTGGAATCCTGGTCGGTCTGTAAATCCTTGTTGCGGCATAAGGAAGCTAAAGAACTTCTATTTTTTTTTTTTTTTTTTGGTGGTTGGCAAATAATTTTGGCGCACTACCACAAGCTTGCAGTAATTCACCCAAAAATATTTGCCAACTATCAAAGACAGTCAAAACCATTCGGGAACGGAATTTTGGGGTGCCAGTGCAAGCCCTAATTTTAATATACACAAGCATACTTGAAGTCGCAGGACCAGACAAAAAAAAACAAAAAAACGATACGGTTTGTAGACAGTAAATTATAGTCGTCATTCTGATGTTTCCCAACGCCGCTTCAAACGGCGCCTTTATAGAAACGGCCGTGATGTTGTTATGCCACGCAAATAACATTCCCAAGAGACACCCGAGATAAAATGACAAAACGTGAAACCGCCTTTGTTTTAAATTGAAGGGACCAGGAGGCAGACATAAATCGGTCGTCTCCGAGGGAAACCGGCCGTCTGTCTGCTGTATCGATGTCCCATTGATTCAGGCTTTGTGTCTCACAGTGAATACCCCCCCCCCCCACACACACACATACCACATCTCCTACTTTATATGTTTGAGGGGCCTGATGTGTCTCATCTGTAAAAGGCAGAGGTTTACTCCCCCCCTACTACATGAGATGGCAATGCTAGTGCGGCGGGAAGCAAAATGAGTCGGTGTGAGGCTGCGGCCGCTCTGAAGCCGGCCTGGTGGGACTGCGGGTTTATTGGCTGGAAAGGCGGCGGGAGTTGCGAGGGGGCCTGAGAACTTGAATGAAAGCCGCTTTTGAAACTTCCCGCATTGGCATTAGAGAAACGCCCGCTTCTCTTGCACCAGCACAAATGGAAAAATAAATAAATAAAAAATACAAGAAAACAAACTCACCCCCACACACACATGGCTTGGCACATACATGCATTACCCATATCGAGAAAACACACACACACTTTGGCTGCCTTTTTATCAGCGAGTCCGCAAGATGAGACCGGCTCTAATTGGTCCCGGGGGAGATTGGCAGGGCGAGCGGAGCAACAAGGAGGCCGGAGTCCCCCCCCCGGGGACCAACAACAGGAGGCGGGAAAAGAAAAGGGCCACAGCTCCACAAGTAGAGAGGGAACGGCGACGGAAAGAGGGGAAATAATTAAGCAAAGAGGCAAAGTTAAGCGAAAAGAAAAAAAAAAACATTCAAACCACCTCGGAGAAAGTTGCCCCGATTAGCGGCTATAAAAAGACTTACCGACTGTACGCAATTCATCGAATTTCCCTTTGCTATATCTACACTTGCGCCCCTCTTAAGTCCCGCAGGACACGGCAAGAAGATGCGGAGAGGGGTGGTTTGAGGTGCCGCTCGAAAACCAGATGAAAAGAATACGTGATCAGAGGCTCCCTAACCTGCAGCCAACACCTTCGTCTTTCGCCCCTTCAGCAGTTTCTGCACCCGGCACAGCTGCAGGTGGTTCTCGTGGCGCCGGGTATTGTTCTGGATACGCTGGTGCAGTTCTTCCACCGCAGCCACCGCCCCTGTGGCAAAAAAAAAAAAAAAAACACGCATAGTGCTTGAATCATACCCGTGTGGATGACTTTACTTACTTGAATGACAAAGTCCACACAGAAACATCCAATTGTATCATCATCAGCAGAAAAGGCTAAACTGCACGGTCTCTGTACCGCTTCAATCGAAATTTAAGACCTCCCATTCACGACATGTGACAGTGGGGTGTGGGTGAGAAAAAAAAAAAAGCTCAATCAAAAATATTTGCAGAAACCTTTCGAGGCAGATTGTCATTGTTCCGATATATTTGTAATTAGCGTAACGTATGCTAATTTCCATTAGCCCGTCGAGGGCGCTTCGTAGCATGTGTTAGCATGGAGCTAGCAAGCGTTACATTTTACACAAAAATTATCTCCCCGGTTTTATGTGTCATACCTTGAGTAAACTAACCGGCGGGAAATAAACAGCTTGAAGCAAGCACGCTGGGCCTCTTATTTGAAGTACTGAAACCGAGGAGATAGACCTTGTCTTCATAATTTCAAGAGCATACTCTCTCAAAAATTGCAAACAACCGTTTTTACAACGAAGCGACAAACCTTTGCATCCGAACAACACGCCAAAAAAAAGGAAGGGAAGCCGCGAACTTACTGCAACGCAGCCCCGACAAGAGCTGTAAACATTTTCGAGCAACATCATTAACACATCCGATGGAAACGACGCGCGGCTGAATCCTAATTTCAAACGCAACATTTCAACTTTGGTTGGGGGGAATGAAAGTCTGGATGAACAACGAGCCTCTCGGCGACGTGCCTCTCCGAAAATAATCACCGCCTAATTGGCTCGCTTAACTTCACAACAATTACAATGTAAACCAAACAAGGCATCCGTGTAGACTTTTCCCCTTTGTTATGCCTGCTTGGAATATTTTTATTTTTTTTTTTTCCACGTCGGCTGCTTCGGAAAAACAACAACTTCTAATTACAGCATTCTTGACATGAGATCTGGCCGAGGCATTAATAATACATTGAGCCCATTAGACACGCTGAAGAAATCTTGCGATTCTTGGGAGCGCTTTATTCCACTTATTTACTATTTAGACAGCGTTTTGACGGTGGAACGAGCGCCGGGGAAGAACTTTTACGACAAAGTCTCAGCATCATTTCTGGAGGTCGTACCTTGTTACCGCGCTTGAGTTGTTCTTCGCTGTGTCATCTTTCAAGCCGGCAAATAAAAACTCCCAAAGTGCCGCAATTATAACAATTAAAATCGAGCCCGGGATGCAAAGCAACGCGGGAAACGAGAAGCTCGAGGGGGAGAACGACGCGGAGCGACACAAGAGGAAAAACAACAACAACAACAAAGTTCTTCGACTGTACGGCACTGAGCTCGTTTCCTTAATCAGATACAATGTGATTTGTCAGAAATATCTTTTTTTTTTTTCATAATTCCCTTCGCAATACAATTGGCCTGATGATGGAAAGTTCACACAAATACACCCAACGCCCCCATTCAAAAAAAATAAAAAAGCAGCAGAGTTTAAAAACAGATCGCTAATGAGAAGAGGAAAAAGGCGATGGTGGAGCACTTTCAGATATGTACCTTCATCTTAGAGTCACGGGCTGTTTTAATTTGTAAGCAAAGGCAGCACATCAGCAATGAGATTTTAATTGATACACATAAATAATTCCTTGTGTATATTCGCACTTCAGTCGACTTCGCTGTTTATTTGACGGCCGAAATGAGTCATTATCGGGATTTGTGTTGATGTTGGAGGACGTTATTTATTAATATCGCGCCTGCTTAATAGCCTCTGATCCGCTCCCAATTAATTATGTCAAAATCCACATCAAAACCCCAACTTGCACTCGCGAGCGAGGCTTTCGCCTCGCTTTCATTTCTCCACTGGCCAAAAGCGCTGCTGCGACAATAACGGCAAATGGGGAATGAAAGGGAATGCTAACGCGGTCTTTGTTCGCCAAATGAAGATAATGAGGGCTTTCTTTTAGAATGACTGTCTGCTGACTGCTACACGAAAAGTTCGCGGGGGAGTTTTCTTTTGGTTGATTGGGGGAGCCAATGTGCAACGGCGAGCTTTTAGTCGCAAGTAAAATGATGGCGGCGGAGAATCATAAATAAAAGTAAATACCTGCTGTGCGGGCGTTGGCCACTTAGGGGCAGTATAGTGCATCGAGGTACACATTCACATCGATTAAAGAGTAGAAGAAAGTTGTCATTTAACTTTATTAATATAACTTGTATTTTATAGATTACGACGATTATATGACGAAAATATTTGTCTTACTACAGCAATTGTTTGTAAATATTCGGGGTTTTTTTTTTGGAATGAACATCAATCCCAGAATTCAATGCTAATTTTGGATTAGCATTATCGAGCATTAGCACGAGCGAGGTTTTGAAAACGAAATCGGGGGATGTGTTGTGTTTCAATATTGAATGTGTTGTCATTGCTGTTATTGTGTGTTGAGTCAACAATCTAAAAACACGCTCGGGGCAGAGGAAAAAAAAAAATCAACTTGACACGCTTGCTGCAAGCAACACGGTGCATTCAGGGGGCGTTCACAACGGAGGAGTTTGCACACACAGACAGGGCACGTTACTGTTTTTTTCTCTCTCAACTGACTGACTCATTCCATCCATCCCTATTAGTGACCTGGAGTTGAAAGCGCAGCATCCAACACAGCAGCAAAACACGGAGCCGCTGAATCCTGAAATTACATGAGAACGTGTCGCTGCAAACCTTGGCATCATCCACTTGAGGGCGGGATGGAGAGCGCGGTATTCATCACTTCACAATAAAAAAAATAAAAAATACATAAAAATTGACCTTGACATGCAGCGGATGAGGGCGGGGGAAAAAAGATGACTGAGACAGTAGCACAATCGTGAAAGGCACTTACGGGAAAGCTGTTGGAACTCTGGGTTATCAGGAGTCGTATTGGCAGTCATCTCTTGTAGAAAACCTTTATACCTAAGAAAGCAGAAATTCATTCAATGCCGAAAATCAGGTTAACGGATGTCCACCGCGTGGCAACGGCTATATTGCTGAAAATGTCCTCGCACCAAAAAGACATTTAAAAAGGATTAGCTGGATAAGGTTCACCAATTATAGCATTTGTCAGCGGTGTCCCCAGCTGTCGAAATAAAAAGCTTGTGTTTTTTTTTTCCTTCTTCTTAACTTAGACCCCCTTCTGTGTTACAAAATGGGATGAAAACAACCACAATTTGGCACCAAAAAAAGCCAATAAGAAGATGGGAATGGGTTTTTTTTTTCCTCTGTGCTGAATTCAGTTATGCACTTAATACAAACCAAACTGGCCTTGTGGAAGAGTGGCCAATACTAAAGGTAAATGCAGTTGCCAAGTGGCACCATTTGTTCTTTTTTTTTTTTCCATTGGGAACACTCCGCATTCTATTCTAAATGGAAAATTTGACGGAAAAAAAAAATATTACTCCTGTACAGATAGCGATCAAAAACGAATTCAGAATTAGGCTGGTCAAAAGAGCAGTGTCGGAATATTTTGTCACAAAAATTGACTGGATGAGCTGAAGCATGTTTAAAAAAAAAAAAAATACACTAATAATTTTAAACCGCTTCACATCTGCGCTGCCTTCGTCACTTTCTGTGAAGGGATAACAAATCGTCATCACCCGGGCCACCAGACAAACATCGAAGGGTTTTCCCAACTACGGGACTCAGTCGGTCGCAGCAACGCTGGTCCATTTGGCCTCGGTAATAAGAGGCGCCATCCCGTGAACGGCGGGCGAGAAGTGGTTGTCAAAGTGCCTTTCAACACGAGCACGTAAACACGCATTCATTTTTGTGGGGGGGGGGGGGCTATCGCGCTGGTAAGTATGTGGGTGGAGGGGGGGCGGGAGGCTTTGCTGAAGAAGAGAAAAGGAGTGCATTGCTGCGTGCACTCGGTTACTGATTAGAAATGAAATAAATGCCGAACAAGCTCTAATTAAGCCGACATCAATTAAGGGACACTTAAAAAGAAGAAATAATTCCAGTTCCTTCTCTCCTTGTACCATCTTGTAGTAACAAATGCATTACAGGCATTATTAGCAATGGCTGCCCTTGTTTCTTTTTCTTCTTTTTTTTTTTTCTTCCCAAGGAGTTGAGATGAAATTCTAATTACGGCACCGATGTAACAAAGGCGCCACTCTAATGAGCATTATTACAGCCGATTTCAAATAATGTAAATGACGCTCACTCGTTAAGCCGCCCTGTCCCACTCATTAGTACCACAGCAAAGAAAGATAATGAGACAATCACATATTCCCAACAGCTCGGATATTTTCCGCACGAACCGGCGGTTTGATGCACCTACCGCCATGACAACATGAGCCGCTGACCGCGTGGGAATGTGGATTTATGTCGGCGCACGTCAATTTACAACAAGGCGAAGATTTTTTTGTCGTTAGCGTCCGGGATGCTCCAACTGAAGCATGCCGAGTCATGCAGCTTCTGAATGCTGTAGCGCTCCAAATACTCTGAATGCATGGATATTTGCAGAGATACACCGCAAAAAAAAATAAAAAAATTATCGTGATCTGATCATGTGACTGGAAACTCGGGCCAATCGCGTCATTTTCTGATCGGTACTGGGTGAAATGTCTTAATTTTTAAAGTTCATCTAGTGACAAAATCATCCTCATGGTCATTGTATCAGCCGATACGGAATTGAGACGGAACCCGAACCCTAAAATGGAAATCCATCTTATTAGAGGGCCCGCTATTGTGCAAAAAAATAAAAAATAATAGCCAGCTTTTTGACAGCTGGCTGTCCTGGGCCTAAGTCACACGGCAGCCGCAAAGGGGCCGCAACCCGATTATGAAATCCGACTCGCTCGTGACGCTTTACGTTGAAAGCGAGCGTCCACCTCATTATCTGTCTCAATGGGTGGAGACTCAATAATATTGAACTGTTCATGGCAAATTTGATGTGGGTTGGAAATGGAATTACCTCAATGCTGACGATGAAAAACAGGGTCAGGCAGACTATAAAACAAATTACCAGGGGGGACGATGAGGGGAGAGATAAAAAAAAAAATATAACAGCGATGTACCTGTCGCCCACGTCTTTCAGAAAACGCTTGAAAAGGAATTAATCAGAGGTTTGTCCTTGTCTGGAGGAGCCTTACAGTGCCCGGGGATGTAGCGGTCGACAGAATAAACGCCGCCGCGCACAAAGGCGGCTAATTTGAAAAGCCCACCTTGTCAAATGAAAGACGAATTCAAGTACGGCAGCCTGAGTACAACACCCGACGAAACGCTTCACAATACCGAGCAAGAATGACAATGACCCAAAGACCTCCGGATTTTTTTTCGGTACGCTTTTTCCATCGAACATCGTCCTCCTTCTGAAGCCAGCCTCGCGCCGGGTCAATGCCTCGTTACGCTAAATTGTGCCGGGTTTCCAGCGCACGGATCCCAAGGCCTGCTGCCATTTCCGTTCGAACTTAAAAACGCCATTATTGACACAAATGCGGCCGGAGAAGGGGTTGTTATTTCAGCGACACAATCAACTCGAGACCCCCCTCCCCTCCCATTACTGTCATAACGGTGAACTCAGCGGAGAGGAGACAGATGACTACTCCAGTTCGGCGCCGGCGAACGCCACTTAATAACGGCAATTATTTTCGTCGTCCCCGAGCGGCAACATAAGTATCCGAACCCGGGGGCGCGTCCCTCGAGGTCGCCCGAGTTTGGGCAGACGGATCAATGACGACGACGACGGCGGGAAGTGGGCAAGGAAACGGAGCGACGCAAGGTTGCACTGGAGGCTGATTATATGTCAGAGTCGCAGATAATTGGATATCATAGGGACGATGACACCCCCCCTCCCCCACATGCAATAAATGTTTTACAATCCTCCCAAACTGTAATGGAAATTTACCAAAGACGTCGCAGACGTGTTCAAATGAGGACATTACGAGGTGTGCGCAACGGCTCCCTCCTGTGAGCGCGTTTTGCGCCTCTCAGCTTGGCGGGTTCAAATGACACGCTTCCACGGCGTCATCAAAGGCAACGCGCTGACACAAGCGTTTACGGTATCAAGAGCCCCGTAAAAATGGCATTCATTTTTCAACTTTTGTGTGGATCTAAAAAGTCCAAACACCTCCACCGTTTTTTTTTTTGTTTTTGTGCAAGAAATCCTTTCAAAACTTTATTTACTTATTTCACAACCTACGACATCACCTTTTCAACTCAAACCTTTTTTCGGAAGGGGAGGTAAAAATAAAGAACTGCGAAAACGTGGTTGCAAAAGTGTGCACACCCTCTGGGAGCAGCTGTGTTGAACCCATAATTGTGCCTTTGCATTATTTCAGTTGTTTACTTTTAGATGACCGTATTTTACGCACAATAAGGCGCTTCGGAGTATAAGGTGCACTTTCGATGAATGGCCTATTTTAAAACTGTTTTTATATCTAGGGCGCACCACATGTTAAAGCGCACAGAAGAGAAGCTACAATAATGGCTGCGGTTGCGCTATGCATCCACTAGATGGAGCTATGCTAAACGGAATACAATACAATACAGCTTTATTTGTATAGCGCTTTTACAACCGCTGTAGCTGTAACAAAGCACTCTACGGAACATTTAAAATACTACGTCCAAGAAATCAGAATATTGATCCATATGTAAGGCGCATCAGATTATAAATCGCTTTAGTCAGCTTTTGAGAAAATGAGATGCTTCAGGCGCGCCTTATAGTGCGGAAAATAAGCTAAAACCAACTTATTGGTACAGGTTGAACAATTGTGCAAAATCATAGCATTTTAACAGGGGTGTGTAGACTTTTTTTTTTTTCTTTGTGCAAAATCATAGCATTTTAACAAGGGTGTGTAGACTTTTTTTTGGTTGTTTTAAATGTCCGCTGTGGCCACAAAAATTCGTCCACTACAGAGGATACAATAAATGATTTAAATGTCCGCTGTGGCCACAAAAATTCGTCCACCCCTGCTACAGAGGATACAATAAATTCTATCAACGGTAAAAGAAACTCTCAGATGTTAGCTCATCGCACAGCACCTCGCAAGTTGGATGGACGGAACATGGCATGATGATGAGCGTGGAAACTGCCTAATTAAGATGCAAACAAGCGGCTTGATAAACCAGTGTCACCAAATGCGCCGCGTTGGAAAGCGCGTTTGCGCTGATTTCTTTTCTTGTTCCGCTAATTAACAAGCGAGATCAGGACCGCGTGAAATTACAGCTAACACAAAGCGGTACTTAACAAACCAGATTTTGACAGCTCCCGGACGGACGGCGTGCGCGCGTGGGCCGCCGCATCAAATAATAATAATTATATCTGTCACCGAAACGAGAGATTGTGCAACGAAGGCGGCAAAAGACCGGTGAAAGGAAAACAATCAAACAGCAAAAAAAACAACTCAGGCGGGAAATTCGGTGACACGTTAAGGAAGTGGCGGAGTGTGATCAGAACACATTTCAGGAGTTGTTGGTAAGAAGTCGGCTAAAAATAAATAAATAAATAAATAAACAAAAGACTGTGATTTTGTGGAAACATGATGTGATGGGAGACTAACACCATTGTTTGCTGTAAAAATAATATGTTCGGCGTGTACTATTTATTCACAGCGTATTGGGAGAAGAATACCTTTGAGGAAGCATTGATGTAATTTAAATAATGTAAAAATAATGTTGTTTTTGCGAGTGTAAGCATGTGCAAGTGGAGGGGGAATAAAGGGGGAGTGGGAGGGTTAGGGCTGTTGTTCGAATTTATAACAATAGTTACAGTTAATGCTGATTATGCGAGCATTTCAATTGGCGTCGGTGTATTATTTTTTTTTTTTGACACATCTGCTTTTTATTTTGTTGATCTTGCTGATTGTTGAAAGACTTCTTTCTCAGGATCAGGATTTTGTCTTTTGTCTTCTTTTAAAATAAACTCGACGTCACAGTTGTATACTGGTACTACAAAAAGTACCACGGAAGCTTGCTGTCAAAATTGAATTAAAAAAAATATATATTTCGGGATGGTCGACGTATCGATACCAGTTATCGGTATCGGGATGATACCCGGGTTTATTTCGAGATATCGTTCCTCGCGACCCTTGTGGCTGCTTGTTTTACGATCGCGAACTAAAAAGCATGCGAGTCGGACAGATGGCCGCTAAGATGCAATTTCTGTGCTAATTTTTGTGCGAATTCAGATCAAAAGAGAAACATGAAAATAATAAATGGTGTCAACAAAGTACAAGAATTTCATCTTCTATTTTCCACTGCCCAAAATTAATTTCAACGACCAAAAGAATCCAAAAAGTTCCATCTATGATTCCACGATTTTTACTGATGTTTTCGGCTTCGCTCTGGTATCATTTCAGTATCGCTAGCAAGCTACTTGATGCAAGAATCGAATCCAACTCACAATTTTGCTATTGTGACAAGACTAATTTAACATGAGGTGAACGTTGTTCTGGAATTCTGGGATTAATTTGTCGATAAAGGCCAAAATCTGAGTTAAAACAAAAATTAAAAGGCTAAAAATTGGGTGGAAATGAGGTTTTAGCTTCCTTGACAGATTCGTGAATCAATCCGTCGATGGAAAGCTTACTGATCAATCCGCTTGATAGGAAGTTGAAGCAGGTCCTCCAGCGTGTGGTTGTTGAACTCGGGTCGGCCTTCCTGGAGTTTCTTAAACCGTCTGAAGGCCTTGTTTTTCTTCAGCTGGATCTGGATCATCAAAGGAACACACTTTATTAAAGTCGCATCTGCATTCAGCTTGACCGCGAGCTGCCAGGCTAATCGGAAAGGGAACCAAAACTTTTTTATCGATTCGCCTTTAAAAAAAACGGGCAGATCAACATTTCACGATGATCCCGTTGCAAAGGGTGCAGACTCACCCGGAGCGCTTTTTGGGCATCGTAAATGTTGTCCACAAAGACGTTGTAGTGGTGCAGTTGAGGGCAAAACTGGTCGAAGCCTCTCCCGAAGTAGCCGTTCTCCAGGTGAACCAGCAAAGATCTGGCCAAAACACAAATATCCAAGAGTGATCTTCTACATTTGCCAGTGCTAATGCTAATCTCAATGTAAAATCCCATGGAAATGCTAATTGGAAATTAGCATCGACTTCCGGGAGCGACAGCCCTTCAAATATTTACACACAATCACTGTTTAGCATCGACTTCCGGGAGCGACAGCCCTTCAAATAACGAATATTTACACACAATCACTGTCGGAATGCATAAAGTCTGGAAATATAACAATGCTCGGTACCTCACAAGACTCGTGAAAATAAAACCACAACAATAAAATCAGGTCAAATAAAGACGATAAAGAGATAAGGGAGCTGCGAGTCCACGGTTTGAACGTGAACGAAAAAACAAAATGCAATGCTGTCAAGGTGCGACTGCTGCAGAATAAAAGTTGCAAGAGGCTTGAATTTCAGTTCGGTTGCGTTCGGGGGGTCACGGGTGAGCTGGAGCCTCACCCAGCTATGGCCTATGCATCTCTTTGCATTAACTCCACAGCTTGCCGTCCTAACCAATCATCTATATTTAGGCGACGCCGACAAGATAAGACATCGCAACGCCCTCGCAAGATACGCCGCATAGATTTTGCGCATCAAAGAACCTCCGACACATTAATTTCCGAGCGCTTCTTCCTCACGCGCATTTTTGCCCGCAGTCACGAGCGCCGTCGGACTTTTGAGTTAGTGCCTGAGAAAACACTGCTGTTCGGCATCGGTGTGATCTCAAATGAGGCGCCATCGCATCTGAAGGATCATTTCCCGGCAAAAGACAAAAGCGAAATTGTTGAGCAAAGTTTAGAAGGAACCCCCCCGCCCCGTGCACCCGCCTCCCGCGTACTCACACGCCGTTAATGGGGAGGGTTTAGCAGACGAGGCTCTGTAGTGCCTGGTTTGTAGGCCTGGGTGTATTCACCGGGACCCAGACGGTGGGTCTACCTTCAGGGCAACCGGGGCCACTTTGTAGTGAGAACATGCCTGCTGAACTCCGGAGCCAAACAAGTGAATCAAGGCGAAGGCAAAACAGTCGTCAGCCTGTCAGGCACATTATAGCAACACGGACGCAATTGGTTGGGGGTGTTGACACTGGTGAAGGAGCTTGTTATCCAAACTTAGAGGAAGTACCACACACACACATACGTACGTATGCGCGCGCGGGCACACACACACACACACACACACACACACATTCCCACTCTCTAATGATGTTCCCAGAGACTTCTGTTCGCACACGCTGGAAGGAGCACATTTCAGTTGAAGTTGATTTAAATAGATTTTAATGAAGTTGCACGCCAAGGTAGCCTCTGTTCGTAATCAGGAGATGCAGGAGCAGCCGAGAGAGTTCTAACGAGGGCAAAGGGCGGGAAATATAGTGTTTCCGTTTCGCCCCCACCCTCGCTCCCTTCCCCCCCTCACTCCTTCTGCCATAGGCTATTATGATAAATATGAAATTAAAGATTACTTTTTTTTTTTTTTTTTAACGGCAATTAAATTGTCTGGCCATCAGCGGCGGGGGGCGATTAATACTTGCCGCG